GGCGTAGGACTCTAAACACAATTCCTTATAATTCAATTTCTATAGCTTTATTTAGTTTATTGAAAGCAGTTATAAACAAAAGTACAGAAATAGCAGAACCTTGCGGTACAGCATTTGTTAGAGATCCAAAAGAAAAATAAGAGTTGCAAACATAAAATATAATTTTTCTATTGGTCATGAAGTTTTTAATGTAAGCTAAAGTTTTTTTCATAACTTTCTAGAGCTTTAGTTCATCCATAATGGAGTAAATGCCTATTTTGGCAAAAGCTTCGGCACATGACACATGATTATGGGTACAGAAGGAAGAGAATAATAGTTAATCCAGCGTGGCTAGAGGGTTAGATATAGATTTTCATCTAAGATTTTGGAACAAAATGGATTAAGTGATATTGGGCGGTAGGAATTAATTTCAATTTTATTAGAATTCGACTAAGGTATTGGAATAACTTAAGAAATTTTGTTATTTTAGAGAATAATGTTGTAGAAAATGCTGTTAAACAAATTACGCACACTGTTTTGAACTGAAGAGTGGAAGTATTTTATAATGTGGTAAGATCCATCGATGCCGAAACTGGTATCCTTCAATTTGTTCATAGAGCTGAGAAACTCCAGTTTCATTGCTGCTATAGACGTAGTGTATAAATTATTTCCTATAGTGTGCTTGCACGAATGCAGCATTTATGCACAATTCTCTTTTCAGCAGCTTTTATTCTGACTGCACTTCGTTAAGGTTTGCTGTCACTATTGATACGTCTATATTTATCAAAAGATTTTATTAAACTAAGGAAATATAGATAATACCTATACATCCACTTCTTATAAAATAATGGCATAGTTCTGAGATCATAATAAGTGGCTATTCTGATAAGAAACACCATTTAAAAAAACGAACAATATATTATTAATTTTTTAATTTTTGTGACATAAAAAAATTATAATAAAATATTAAAACATTAGTATTAATATAACGATTCGAAGTTAATTTAATTCGAAAATATTTTATTCAAATTTAAAATAATTATCGCTTTTCTTATTCATTATAATTTAATATTAAAGTTTAGCGCTAAGCCTAGAATAATCGATTCTATTATAATTTTGATAGATTTTGCGCCAGAAATTCATACGATTTTCTTCAGGATTTTTTTTCATTTCAAATTGTTTATCAATAGATAAATAATCTAATACGAATTCACTATCTTCCGTTTCCGGACATGTCACTGGTTTCCAGTTGATTGCATCATCAATAGTTGGTTTTCCATATTTTGCAAAATTTGTCCAAAGCTGACACAACTTATTGGCAAATATTTCATCATCCGGTGTTAAAGTTGCTTTATCACCAGCTGTTTGGAACATATAACATAATTCGTCGCCATGACAAGCTCCATTAAGTGCTTCAAATTGGAATATTCGCTTGTACATATTGTGGTCACCAATATAATTAAAGCGATAAAAGAATAATGGTGCATTCGATTGATAACGGGCTTGACACTCTGCGGCACGCTGCATGTCAACAACAAAGTGATAATCACTCAATACATTCGCGAGTTCATTTAAGGATTTTTCATTTATAATCCCACCTTTAAAATAAAAATTTCGCATTTCTTTAGCGATGGCTTTAATACCAGGACTATCTACTGGCAATGGTATATCTCGTGGTACAAATCGTTCTAAGTCATTATCTATAGCATTTAATTTCCGTAATGCATTAGATAACAAAGCTAAACCATCGGTAGAATTATAGCCCATTATAGTTGGAACTTTTACGACATTAATTTTTAGTAAGCTTTCTAATATAGGTTTTTTGATAAATATGTCAGGACTATTTTTATCTTCAACTACTGGCTTGAAGGGTACTGGAAGACCACGCCGCCGTTCATCTTCTGTTAGTACACAAGGACTAGAAAGTAGTATTCTATCAGCGGTTACAGCATCTGATTGCAAAAATGTTAGTATATCACTTGTTTTATTCGACTCACAACCTAATAATTTAGCTAATTTTCGGGTTTTATATCCTGGATTCGATTGAAATGACCATTCCATATTAGCCGTACCACTTTGCATTATAACTTTGTGAAAGTATTTGTTTGCATGATCGGCATAAGAATGCATATGAACAGAAATTGCTCCTGCACTTTGACCAAATATTGTTACATTATTTGGATCACCATTGAATTTTGCAATATTCTCCTGTACCCATTGCAAAGCAAGACGCTATATTAGTAGAACAAAGACATTATAAATGAGTTTTTAATGGATCATAATTTATTATTTACTTGATCTTTTAATCCAGCATTACCATAGATGCCTTCCTCGGGTAAACTTAAAAAACCCATTGCTCCTAAACGATAATTAGTTGTGACAACAACAACATCATGTTCCATTAATTTAAGTGGATAGAAACTATAATTAAAATCAGACAAATTATTTAATTTAATTTATTTTAAATTAATAAGAACTAACGAATCACTGTTTCCACTACCAAACCAGAAGCCACCACCATGTATCCAAACCATTACTGGTAAATGTTTTTCATTAGCTGAATGAGGCGCATAGACGTTTAAATGAAGACAGTTTTCTGAACCAACAATTTTTTGTAGAAAAGGATTACGATGATGTGACATGTCGCGTTCTTTAGAACAATCCAATTCTTGTACATCAAATTGTTCAAGCGCCACAGGTGACTATCCAAGTCGAGAACATAATTAAAATACAAATTAACAAATTAATTAAATTAAATTAATTAAAATTACTTTAAATCTAAGCGTTCCAACTGGTGGTTTTGCATATGGTATTCCTTGAAAACTATTAAATGGTTTTCCATTGGGCAATAACTTCTGAACACCAGCAAGCGTTCCTTGTTTTATTTGAACTTTGATCATCTCTTCGTACTTCGTTAGAGCCTTTGTTAATTAAAACCTTTTACATTTAACGTTGATAAGCATCTGAAGTTAACTCAAAGCAAAGCTAACATTTAATAAGACCTTTCGTATATATGTATTAGTTTAAATACTGTAATTACGGTTATATTGAAATATGATTTTTTTATTTGAATATGAGAGAACCTTCAAAACATAAATATCAATAGAACTGTATGAGAGACAACTACCAATCACTTATATCTATAGAACTGTATGAGAGACAACTACCAAGCATTTATATCTATAGAACTGTATAAGAGACAACTACCAAGCATTCATATCTATAAAACTTTATGAGAGGCAACTAACAAGCACTTATATCTGTAGAACTATACATTTCAGTTGCTCTATTAAATAAATGCATACTTATCTTATTTGTTGATTTGATCTATTTTTTATGGTCTTATTAAAAACTTTCATTAAAAGAAAAAAGTAACTAATTAATTTTGTAAAAATTGCTAATATAATTTAGTTACAAGTAAAAATAATAATCAAATAAATTGTAAAATAATTATATTTTACCATTTGACAGAAAGTCATACCAGAGAAAAATTGATTTCCACTGGAAAAATAGAATTACCTTAGTTATAAAAAGATTAAATATAAATATTTGGATTAGTTAAATTGGATTAATATTTATTGATATTGATTACATTGGATTGACATTATCTGACATTATATGACATATAACTATATTTAATTGTATTGAAGTGAACACATCCTTAACGATTAACTTTACTAAACTGACTACATGTTTTAAAATTAAGCAACGAGTAGAACTTATACTCTCGACTTTCATCTAATCATTTATATATCAAAAAAGGGCCAAAAATAAATTCATAAGAACCATATTTTGTATCTTCCTTTATAGCACAAACATATATTCTTTTGTCCATATGGTTTTAAGTCAGTGAGACAAATACGGGTCTGTATTAAATAAATAATGCAATACAATTTTTCAACATATATTGTATTATATTGTATTTATTTCAATAACATTTTCTTGGAGGTATTGTGTTTTTATAAAATTCACACACACATATTTTTTGATCCATTAAACGAATCGAATCAATATAGTAATATTTTTTTAGTATTAGTATTATTAGCTTTATTTTTTATTCATTTTAAATTTGTTGTATAACATAGAAATTAATAGCAATTATATTATATATATAAAGCTTACAGCTATGGCATTTTAACCGTCTGCCGGAAGTTTAGATTAATCTAATAACTAGTTTTTATAAAAATTAAATAAATATTATTACTTATAAACTCAATACAACCAATATTATATTATATATATTATCGCATCAATATATTATAGTTATATTTATCTAACTGTATTTTTGAATGCAAGTTTATCTAAGTTCAAAAAATTGAGAATATAAAAATTTTGTAAATGAACTTTGGTCGTTTATTATGATGAAATTGGTTATCAAATGAAGTCATCTCCATCTGAACACTTCATTGATAACTACAATGAAATCTTATCGAAATTTGAAGTTTCAAATATAAACTTCTTTAATAACAAGCTTTAAACATACTGATATTATTTATAGTCTTTTTGGTAACTACTGGTAGCTGCATTGATATCTTCCCATTCAAACAAAAAATTGATAATTTAAGTGATTATAGTAGGGGAGGAGAAGAGGATTTATCACATAATTATTTTTACAACAATCTATGTTATCTCTCGTGTGAACTCCAGATCTCTAGATTTTAAAAGTTATGAAATATTTTAAAATGCAGTGCTTTAAAAAAAGACCAGTCTTTAGGTAGGACGACAGAATCAAATGCGTATAATTAAAAAAATAATACGAAACTGAATGTCTATGATTATAGTCCTACAAACTGATGTGAAAAAACTAATATGATTGAAAACCAATTTTTGTAGTCTGTAAAAAAATAGGTATTATAAATTCGCTTCTTATAATTTGATGACATATTTTTGACATCATATAATATATATTACCGGTCTTAAATATTAAGAGTTGGAATTAAGATAACGATTCCAAGTTAATTGAATTCGAAAATATTTTATTCAAATTTAATATATTTATCATAAGATTTATTTATTGCACACTTTTCTTATTCACTTTAATTTGATATTAAAGTTTAGCGCTAAGCCTAGAATAATCGATTCTATTATAATTTTGATAGATTTTGCGCCAGAAATTCATACGGTTTTCTTCAGGATTTTTTTTCATTTCAAATTGTTTATCAATAGACAAGTAATCTAATTCGAATTCACTATTTTCCGTTTTGGGACATGTCACTGGTTTCCAGTTGATTGCGTCATCAGTAGTTGGTTTTCCATATTTTGCAAAATTTGTCCAAAGCTGACACAACTTATTGGCAAATATTTCATCATCCGGTGCTAAAGTTGCTTTATCACCAGCTGTTTGGAACATATAACATAATTCATCGCCATGACAAGCTCCATTAAGTGCTTCAAATTGGAATATTCGTTTGTACATATTGTGGTCACCAACATAATTAAAGCGATAAAAAAATAATGGTGCATTCGATTGATAACGAGCTTGACACTCTGCAGCACGCTGCATGTCAACAACAAAGTGATAATCACTCAATACATTAGTGAGTTCATTTAAGGATTTTTCATTTATAATCCCACCTTTAAAATAAAAATCTCGCATGTCCTTAGCAATGGCTTTAATACCAGGAGTATATACTTGCAATGGTATATCACGTGGTACAAACCGTTCTAAGTCATTTTCTATAGCATTTAATTTACGTAATGCATTAACTAACATAGCTAAACCTTCGGCAGAATTATAGCCCATTATAGTTGGAACCTTCACTACATTCATTTCCTGTAAGCTTTTTAATATAGGTTTTTTGATAAATATGTCAGGACTATTTTTATCTTCAACTACTGGCTTGAAGGGTAATGGAAGACCACGCCGCCGTTCATCTTCTGTTAGTACGCCAAGTGTGCAAGCTAATATTCTATCAGCAGTCACTGCATTTGATTGCAAAAATGCTAGTATATCACTTGTTTTATTCGACTCACAACCTAATAACTTAGCTAATTGTCGGGTTTTATAGCCCGGATTTAATTGAAATGACCATTCCATATTAGCAGTACCACTTTGCATTATAATTTTGTGAAAGTATTTATTTGCATGATCGGCATAAGAATGCATATGAACAGAAGCTGCTCCTGCACTTTCACCAAATATAGTTACATTATTTGGATCACCATTGAATTTTGCAATATTCTCCTGTACCCATTGCAAAGCAAGACGCTGTATTAGTAGAACAAAGACATTACAAATCAGTTTTTAATGGATGACAATTTATTATTTACTTGATCTTTTAATCCAGCATTACCGTAGATGCCTTCCTCGGGTAAACTTAAGAATCCCAATGCTCCTAAACGGTAATTAATTGTGACAACAATAACATCATGTTCCATTAATTTCAATGGATAGAAACTATAATTAAAATCAGATAAATTATTGGATTTAATTATTTTAAGTAAAAACTCACAAATCACTGTTTCCACTACCAAACCAGAAGCCACCACCATGTATCCAAACCATAACTGGTAACTGTTTTTCATTAGCTGATTGAGGCGCATAGACATTTAAATGGAGACAGTTTTCTGAACCAACAATTTTTTGAAGAAAAGGATCCCGATGATGTGATATGTCGCGTTCTTTAGAACAATCCAATTCTTGTACTTCAAATTTTTCAAGCGCCACAGGTGACTATCGAAATATCGTACAGATAAAAAGAATTATAATTAAATCAGAAAGAAATTATAATAAAATTAAAATAAATTAAAACTAAAATAAAATTATAAAAATTAAATTTCAAAATTAAAAAAAAAATTATATTAAAATGAAAATTAAATAATAAATAAAATTACCTTAAATCTAAGTGTTCCAACTGGTGGCTTTGCATATGGTATACCTTGAAAACTATTAAATGGTTTTCCATTGGGCAATAATTTCTGAAATCCAGCAAGTGTTCCTTGTTTTATTTGAACTTTGATCATCTCTCTGTACTGTCGAAATTTTTTAAATATATTTTTTTTTGTTTTAATTTAAAATGTCTCACCTTTTGTGTGGATAAGTACCTGATGTTAACTCTAAGAACTGGTAAACACTTAATAAACATTTTTCGTGTTTTAATGAGGTTAAATACTGTATTTATAATTATCTTGGATTATGATTTGATTACTAAAGTGTGAGAGAAAACTATCACACAAACTATATTAGCTTCACCTCCCCTTGTACCTCTCATGATAAAAACGCATTTTAGTTGTCATTTATATTGTTACAAGAGCATTGAAACAAAAAATTCTTTTTCAAACTCTGAAGACATTTTGCAGAATTGTTCCAAAACAAATTATCTTAAATACATTGCCACAATTAAAATATTTTTTTACAAATCTAGAAGCCGCAACTTTTAGGGTGCCAGAGTTGTAAAATAGTAGTATTTCTAAATAAATTACTTAAATCATACTCGAAGGAATATATATTATTAATAACATCGCATCGCTTTGTATTAATTATACTATATAATATTTATTAATTCATATAATTTAATGTAAAACATAAACTGTTTTAACTGTTTTTGTTGTTTTTTAAATTGATAAAAATTGGATAATTAGATAACAAAATAATACAAAAACATATTGTTAAGTTTGTAACGTAAGCATCTTACGTTAAGTACAAAAACCTTAATAATTATAGATACGAATAATTAATAATTAAAAGTTAATTAGAAAAGCAAAAACTAGCGTAGCATAGTAAGTTTCGTATTCAAGTGCTCGATACATACGACAGATTTAATGTATCATTTATCATTTATTAATTTATTAATTATTAATATTATTAATAATAATTATCATATTATTAATTATAGTTTATTATAGTTAACAATTAATTCATACAATAAACATAAAAAAATAAAAAAATAAAAAAACAAGAGATCTAATCCTCATCATAATCACTCATCGTATAATTATTTAAAGCTGAAGCATTTATTGTAATAATTGTCTTTTATTCTGATTTGAATTATAATTTCAGACATGTTATACAATAATTGTATAATTGGTCACTTCCTGGTATTAGACCTAAATAATTTTACCTAGAGTGAAGTATAATATGTTGCTATAAATATTTCAAATATATATTACTTAAAATCTAAATACTTAAATTCATTACGAGCTTAAACATAATTAAACATATGCATTAAAGTCGATATAAAATGAGAGATTATATTTATTAACTACATTGTTATTAAATAGTATTATTTTTTTGATGTGATATTTTAAACTAGGGGGCTTTGAACACTGCGAGTTTCGTCTTGCCAATAAATAACGCTAATATATATATGGTCTTAACATTCTCTAGAAGATACATCAAATTTGGTCTAGTTGAATGTCTTTAAAATGTCTTTTGATGTCTCTTCTAGAAAATGTTAACACCACATACATGTGATTGAATATGAGTATGTTGTCAACAACATATTGTTGTTGAATACGTATAGATATAACATTTTTTCTTCTTCATGCAATCCTAACATTAAACATTGTTGTTTAATTTACTTTTTTTGATTCAAATCACGTTGTTGTAAACATTTTGCTGAATTTGTTCCTGTGATAAATATTCTACGTTTTAAAGCATTAATACAATCTTTATGTTCTTCTTCTCTTTCGGAATTGTTCTTGTTTTCAATGCAAATTGTAAAAAAATGACAATATGTCGGTTCAAATTTGGTCATGAAAGCCGTGACTATTTATGCCTCAGAACCAAATTATTACAATTTCTCGTCAAAGCATAAAAGAGACAATTTTGACGAGCCCATGCACTCTACATAACATGAGCCTTACTGATATCTTGTCTGTTTAATCTTTCTTGGGGTCACCACACATACAATTGGCATTTGTAAATAATAGGTCTGTTCCACGAACTACTGGTAGTAACTTTGAGTAACACTGTGTATATATACTTGTATATATACAAGTCCATTCCACCAGCAAATTTTCGAATAGATGAGAGCATCTGAGAGAATGTAACATCTCTGTCGAAATTTGAAAATGTTACACAGACTTACTCGTACATTTTATTTTAAGTAAAATTTGTTTTGATGTGTGAATCAGCTGTTTTGGTTTGAATTTAAATTTTTGTATGATTTATTTGCACGACACTGGTGTCCTCACCAGAATTCACAAAAACCTTTTGCAAGAAAATCTGTGTAAAGTTTTTCTGATGTGAAATATCTTCTGATTGAGACATTATTACATGTTTGATTCAGTAAATTTTAGAGTATTTATCATATATTATCTACTAAAGATGGAGTAGGAAAATAAAATTACTATAATTAATTGTAGTGTCGATATTCTTAACTGTTTTCTGCTACATATTTAAGGTATGACTAATTGCTCTAGTGAATTAGTTAAACTGTATTAAAATTCTTTAGAAAGAGTAATCTCCCTGGCCCTAGGAAACTTATCAAAAAGCATCTTGAAAAATAATAAGTAAAATGTTTTTAATAAAAGTTATATATTCAAAATGTGTTTTCAATTTAAAATAGTAATTTTAATCATAAACTTATGCTGCTTACATTCTTTAATTATATATTTATATTAAATTTGATAAAGAGGTTTTCGAACATTTGATTTGATATTATTTTAAAATTATTTCAGTAAATATTTTAAAAGATTTCATACACTACACTAAGAAACACATTAACACAAATATTGAATGTTTGTGTTAATTAAAATTTATTTTATGCTAATTGAATACATAAACATATTTAATAAATTTAAATATTTTTAAAAATTTAATATAAAAAAAAGAAAGAAAATTAAAATAACAAATTAAACTTTAATTAAAACTGAGATTAATACATGTCATAAAAAATTTATTTTTCTATATTTTCATGGTATATTTTCATTGTGGAATACTTCCAGAAATGGAAGATTAAAATAAACAATGATAAAACCAATGCTATATTCATAACACGAAAGAGAAGGCAGCATCCTCCAGGAGTGAGCGTCGATGGCACGGAGATACGGTGGGGGGGAAAGCATTAAATATCTAGGGGTCACTTTTGACAAACGGCTTAATTGGTATAAACATATTAAATGCAAACAGAATAGTTGCTCTAAAATTCTACATCTCCTTAAGTCGCTGTTTAATAATAATTGTTTCAACCTCAAAAATAGAAAGCTATTATGTACTCAAATAATTAGGCCGGCACTACTGTACGGATGTGTAACATACAGCAAAGTCTCAAATACTGCCATAAAGCTATTACAGATAGTACAAAATCTGGCTTTAAGAAGACTAATCAAGATTCCTTGGTATATTAGAACAGCAAACATACATAGAGATCTAAGGATCGACTCAGTGAAAAAATATATCAAGGACAGAGCCGTAAAATTCTTCACAAAAGTTGATACGTTATCCAACCCCGCCCTAACAAACCTTAAGTCCACCTCAGGATGCACAGGAAGATGTGCTGATCTACTGTTCGTCATCAGTTAAAAGATAAATAAATAATAATATTTCTAGTATCGTTAAAGCTTAGTGTGGGGTAGGGATAAGTCCTCCAGATACAAAAGAGTAAAAGTGCGCAATAACACTAACTCAAATAACAACAACAACATAATAAATTTATTTTTTTTATTCTCTAAGGGCTTTAAATTTTTTTGCTTCTTTAGTGGTATTCGGTAGCACTTTGTTTTATTTTTTTAAACATTGAATATAATTATACAGGCTTTCCCTTAAGCAACTTTTCGGAAATGTACTTTTTCTTCGTTTTTTTTTCTGGTGCACTTCATCTGTTTTTTGGAGTTAAATGAAATGGGTAAGTGAACAAAGTCATATCCATCAGCACGTTTCATTGACAATTACAACGAAACCTTATTGATATTTGTAATTTCAAATATAAACTTCTTTAAACATTTACCGGCATGTTACTAATTCCTGTTATTTTTAAAATGTAATCACATGATTTCATAAATAAATAGTTAAATTAATTTCTTTTAACAGTCAAACTAAAACGCTTTACGCACACCTAGAAGGATGGAATCCTTAATTCTGTGACAATGACAATGTCAGTGATTATCATTTTAAAAGTTAAAGCAAAAACAATTAAATATTATTGTCTATGAAAACTCAATTAATTTGCTTCTCTTAGCTATTATAGTCGTTAGTTGTGCTCATAAGTTTGCAGCTCACATCGCAAAACATTTCTATCATATCTCGTCTTTCCCCTTTAAGCAATTGCATTTATAAATTTCTGTCATAAGTGCACAAAAGTAGAATGAACAAAATAATGTTCTAGCTTCAAATATGAGAAATGGAGATTGGGAATTGTATGAGAGTATTTTCTGTTCTATTCGAATATCAACTACATGTATAACAATTCAACATGTTGACTTGCCGAAGCGGTTAGATGTGCGGCTAATGTTTTCAGCCCATATCACCATACATTTCTTTCAAATTTCGTCTCTCGCCTTTTAGCTGTTGCTCCAACGAATAATAACCGCTTTGTGTGCGGAGTAGCTGGCCGCACTTTTATACGTTGCAAGTGTGTTTGATTGTGTTTGATCACTGCATAAACAAGTATGGTTATAAATACAAACTCTTTTGTTTGAAAAAAGTTGGTTTGATATTGTAAGATATATGTGAAAAGTTGTATTTATTCCATATTGATATAATATTAAACTTATACATAAATTATTTATTTAATTTGTTTAATATGTTATTTTGTTAATGAATTATCAAATGTTATATTGTGAATACATTGTTGCCTAATGTAATATAGTTATTATTAATAAAACATCTTATATATTTCAATTTATCATTTTTAATTTAAGTGGTACATGTTTTTTTTTACAATATTGTAGATAGAACACATGTCGCCACTGCTTAGTAGCAAATATAGTTAATATAAATCTATTTCTTATAAATTTTGATAGCACACTTCTAATATTATAATAAGTGACTATTTTTATAAAGAATAACATTAGGAAAAAAACTAGTTTTTAGATCTCTGTGATACATTAAGAAATTAAAATATGGTATAAAGATAAGTTTTAAACGATTCAAGATAATTTGATTCGAATGCATTTCATAAAAATTTGTTATAATTATTATAAGTTTTATTTATTGGACACTTTTCTTATTCACTATAATTTAATATTAAAGTTTGGCGCTATGTCTAAAATAATCGATTCTATTATAATTTTCATAAATTTTGCGCCAGAAATCCATACGATTTTCTTCAGGATTTTTTTTCATTTCAAATTGTTTATCAATAGATAAATAATCTAATTCGAATTTACTGTCTTCCGTTTTTGGGCATCGCACTGGCTTCCAGTTGATTGTATTAATAGTTGGATTTCCATATTTTGCAAAATTTGTCCAAAGCTGACACAATTTATTGGCAAATATTTCATCGTCTGGTGTTAGAGTTGTTTTATCATCAGCTGTTTGAAACATATAACATAATTCATCGTTATGACATGCCCCATTGAGTGCTTCAACTTGGAATATTCGTTTATACATATTGAGATCACCAATATAATTAAAGCGATAAAAGAATAATGGTGCATTCGATTGATAACGGGCTTGATACTCTGCGGCACGCTGCATGTCAACAACAAAGTGATAATCACTCAATACATTTGCGAGTTCATTTAAGGATTTTTCATTTATAATTCCACCTTTAAAATAAAAATTTCGCATTTCTTTAGCGATGGCTTTAATACCAGGACTATCTACTGGCAATGGTATATCACGTGGTACAAACCGTTCTAAGTCATTTTCTATAGCATTAATTTGGCTTAATCTATAACTTAAAACAATTAAACCTTCGGCAGAATTATAGCCCATTATAGTTGGAATCTTCACTACATTCATTTCCTGTAAGCTTTTTAATATAGGTTTTTTGATAAATATGTCAGGACTATTTTTATCTTCAACTACTGGCTTAAAGGGTAATGGAAGACCACGCCGCAGTTCATCTTCTGTTAGTACGCCCAGTGTGCAAGCTAATATTCTATCGGCAGTCACTGCATCTGATTGCAAAAATGTTAGTATATCACTTGTTTTATTCGACTCACAACCTAATAATTTAGCTAATTTTCGGGTTTTATAGCCTGGATTCGATTGGAATGACCATTCCATATTAGCCGTACCACTTTGCATTATAACTTTGTGAAAGTATTTGTTTGCATGATCGGCATAAGAATGCATATGAACAGAAATTGCTCCTGCACTTTGACCAAATATTGTTACATTATTTGGATCACCATTGAATTTTGCAATATTCTCCTGTACCCATTGCAAAGCAAGACGCTGTATTAGTAGAACAAAGACATTACAAATCAGTTTTTAATTGATCACAATTTATTATTTACTTGATCTTTTAATCCAGCATTACCATAGATGCCTTCCTCGGGTAAACTTAAAAATCCCAATGGTCCTAAACGATAATTAATTGTGACAACAATAACACCATGTTCCATTAATTTAAGTGGATAGAAACTATAATGAAAACCGGATAAATTATTAGTTTAATTAATTTAAATTAATGAAAACTCACAAATCACTGTTTCCACTACCAAACCAGAAGCCACCACCATGTATCCAAACCATAACTGGCAACTGGATTTCAGATAATTGAGATAATTGAGGCGCATAGACATTTAAATGGAGACAGTTTTCTGAACCAACAATTTTTTGAAGAAAAAGATTACGATGATGTGACATGTCGCGCTCTTTAGAACAATCCAATTCCTGTACTTCAAATTGTTCAAGCGCCACAGGTGACTATCCAAGTCGAGAACATAATTAAAATACAAATTAACAAATTAATTAAATTAAATTAATTAAAATTACTTTAAATCTAAGCGTTCCAACTGGTGGTTTTGCATATGGTATTCCTTGAAAACTATTAAATGGTTTTCCATTGGGCAATAACTTCTGAACACCAGCAAGCGTTCCTTGTTTTATTTGAACTTTGATCATCTCTTCGTACTTCGTTAGAGCCTTTGTTAATTAAAACCTTTTACATTTAACGTTGATAAGCATCTGAAGTTAACTCAAAGCAAAGCTAACATTTAATAAGCCCCTTCTTATATATGTATTAGTTTAAATACTGTAATTACGGTTATATTGAAATATGATTTTATTATTTGAATATGAGAGAACATACAAAACATTAATATCTATTTAACTGTATGAGAGACAACTACCAATCACTTATATCTATAGAACTGTATGAGAGACAACTACCAAGCATTTATATCTATAGAACTGTATAAGAGACAACTACCAAGCATTCATATCTATAAAACTTTATGAGAGGCAACTAACAAGCACTTATATCTGTAGAACTATACATTTCAGTTGCTCTATTAAATAAATGCATACTTATCTTATTTGTTGATTTGATCTATTTTTTATGGTCTTATTAAAAACTTTCATTAAAAGAAAAAAGTAACTAATTAATTTTGTAAAAATTGCTAATATAATTTAGTTACAAGTAAAAATAATAATCAAATAAATTGTAAAATAATTATATTTTACCATTTGACAGAAAGTCATACCAGAGAAAAATTGATTTCCACTGGAAAAATAGAATTACCTTAGTTATAAAAAGATTAAATATAAATATTTGGATTAGTTAAATTGGATTAATATTTATTGATATTGATTACATTGGATTGACATTATCTGACATTATATGACATATAACTATATTTAATTGTATTGAAGTGAACACATCCTTAACGATTAACTTTACTAAACTGACTACATGTTTTAAAATTAAGCAACGAGTAGAACTTATACTCTCGACTTTCATCTAATCATTTATATATCAAAAAAGGGCCAAAAATAAATTCATAAGAACCATATTTTGTATCTTCCTTTATAGCACAAACATATATTCTTTTGTCCATATGGTTTTAAGTCAGTGAGACAAATACGGGTCTGTATTAAATAAATAATGCAATACAATTTTTCAACATATATTGTATTATATTGTATTTATTTCAATAACATTTTCTTGGAGGTATTGTGTTTTTATAAAATTCACACACACATATTTTTTGATCCATTAAACGAATCGAATCAATATAGTAGTATTTTTTTAGTATTAGTATTATTAGCTTTAATTTTAATTCATTTTAAATTTGTTGTATAACATAGAAATTAATAGCAATTATATTATATATATAAAGCTTACAGCTATGGCATTTTAACCGTCTGCCGGAAGTTTAGATGAATCTAATAACTAGTTTTTATAAATATTAAATAAATATTATTACTTATAAACTCAATACAATCAATATTATATTATATATTATCGAATCAATATATTATAGTTATATCTTTCTACCTGTATTTTTGAATGCAAGTTTATCTAAGATCAAAAAATTGAGAATATAAAAATTTTGTAAATGAACTTTGGTCGTTTATTATGATGAAATTGGTTATCAAATGAAGTCATCTCCATCTGAACACTTCATTGATAACTACAATGAAATCTTATCGAAATTTGAAGTTTCAAATATAAACTTCTTTAATAACAAGCTTTAAACATACTGATATTATTTATAGTCTTTTTGGTAACTACTGGTAGCTGCATTGATATCTTCCCATTCAAACAAAAAATTGATAATTTAAGTGATTATAGTAGGGGAGGAGAAGAGGATTTATCACATAATTATTTTTACAACAATCTATGTTATCTCTCGTGTGAACTCCAGATCTCTAGATTTTAAAAGTTATGAAATATTTTAAAATGCAGTGCTTTAAAAAAAGACCAGTCTTTAGGTAGGACGACAGAATCAAATGCGTATAATTAAAAAAATAATACGAAACTGAATGTCTATGATTATAGTCCTACAAACTGATGTGAAAAAACTAATATGATTGAAAACCAATTTTTGTAGTCTGTAAAAAAATAGGTATTATAAATTCGCTTCTTATAATTTGATGACATATTTTTGACATCATATAATATATATTACCGGTCTTAAATATTAAGAGTTGGAATTAAGATAACGATTCCAAGTTAATTGAATTCGAAAATATTTTATTCAAATTTAATATACTTATCATAAGATTTATTTATTGCACACTTTTCTTATTCACTTTAATTTGATATTAAAGTTTAGCGCTAAGCCTAGAATAATCGATTCTATTATAATTTTGATAGATTTTGCGCCAGAAATTCATACGGTTTTCTTCAGGATTTTTTTTCATTTCAAATTGTTTATCAATAGACAAGTAATCTAATTCGAATTCACTATCTTCCGTTTTCGGACATGTCACTGGTTTCCAGTTGACTGCGTCATCAGTAGTTGGTTTTCCATATTTTGCAAAATTTGTCCAAAGCTGACACAACTTATTGGCAAATATTTCATCATCCGGTGCTAAAGTTGCTTTATCACCAGCTGTTTGGAACATATAACATAATTCGTCGCCATGACAAGCTCCATTAAGTGCTTCAAATTGGAATATTCGCTTGTACATATTGTGGTCACCAATATAATTAAAGCGATAAAAGAATAATGGTGCATTCGATTGATAACGGGCTTGACACTCTGCGGCACGCTGCATGTCAACAACAAAGTGATAATCACTCAATACATTCGCGAGTTCATTTAAGGATTTTTCATTTATAATCCCACCTTTAAAATAAAAATTTCGCATTTCTTTAGCGATGGCTTTAATACCAGGACTATCTACTGGCAATGGTATATCTCGTGGTACAAATCGTTCTAAGTCATTATCTATAGCATTTAATTTCCGTAATGCATTAGATAACAAAGCTAAACCATCGGTAGAATTATAGCCCATTATAGTTGGAACTTTTACGACATTAATTTTTAGTAAGCTTTCTAATATAGGTTTTTTGATAAATATGTCAGGACTATTTTTATCTTCAACTACTGGCTTGAAGGGTACTGGAAGACCACGCCGCCGTTCATCTTCTGTTAGTACACAAGGACTAGAAAGTAGTATTCTATCAGCGGTTACAGCATCTGATTGCAAAAATGTTAGTATATCACTTGTTTTATTCGACTCACAACCTAATAATTTAGCTAATTTTCGGGTTTTATATCCTGGATTCGATTGAAATGACCATTCCATATTAGCCGTACCACTTTGCATTATAACTTTGTGAAAGTATTTGTTTGCATGATCGGCATAAGAATGCATATGAACAGAAATTGCTCCTGCACTTTGACCAAATATTGTTACATTATTTGGATCACCATTGAATTTTGCAATATTCTCCTGTACCCATTGCAAAGCAAGACGCTGAAAAATTCAAACAAAAATATTATATGTTTTTAGAAAATGATAGTTTATTATTTACTTGATCTTTTAATCCAGCATTACCGTAGATGCCTTCCTCGGGTAAACTTAAGAATCCCAATGCTCCTAAACGATAATTAATTGTGACAACAACAACATCATGTTCTATTAATTTAAGTGGATAGAAACTATAATTAAAATCAGATAAATTATTTAATTTAATTTATTTTAAATTAATGAGAACTAACGAATCACTGTTTCCACTACCAAACCAGAAGGCACCACCATGTATCCAAACCATAACTGGCAACTGTTTTTCATTAGCTGATTGAGGCGCATAGACATTTAAATGGAGACAGTTTTCTGAACCAACAATTTTTTGAAGAAAAGGATCACGATGATGTGATATGTCGCGCTCTTTAGAACAATCCAATTCTTGTACATCAAATTGTTTAAGTGCCACAGGTGACTATCCAAGTCGAAAACATAATTAAAATACAAATTAACAAATTAATTAAATTAAATCAATTAAAATTACCTTAAATCTAAGCGATCCAACTGGTGGTTTTGCATATGGTATTCCTTGAAAACTATTAAATGGTTTTCCATTGGGCAATAACTTCTGAACACCAGCAAGCGTTCCTTGTTTTATTTGAATTTTGATCATCTCTCTGTACTGTAGAATTTTTTTTTATTTTAAAAAATTCTTTTGCTAGTTTTAATTTAAAAGTTTTCAGCTTTTACTTGGACGAGTACCTGAAGTTAACTGTAAGACAGACCTGGTGAATACTAAATAAACATTTTCTCGTGTTTGCATCAGTATTTATAATTAACTTGGATTATGATTTGATTACTATGTAAGAGAAAACTGCCAATAAAATTAATAGCTTCTTCCTCTCCTTATATCGCATTTTCCTCATTTAATCATAATAACTTGATTAAAAAATCTGTTTTATACTTGGAAGACAGCATTTTGCAGAATTGTTTCAAAATATATTATTTTAAAATACTTTATAAATTGTATTGCATTAATTATTCTAGATTATAATTTATAACATTATATTATGTTTTCCTTTGCCTTTGTTTTTTAAATGTAATAGAATGAAATGTAGACGGAAATGTAAATAATAAAAAGGTCTCACATTAAATACCTTTGGAGAAAAGATATTTAGCAATTTGCTTATGGCTTTGTTATAAACAAATTTAAATACAGTCAAACTTCCATAAATCGAAGTCCAGTTTTGCAAAGAAAAGGTTCGACTTATGGAAACTCGAATTAGAGAATTTTGTTTTTTTATTTTTGAAAAAAACTAGAATTATATTTTAAGATATTGATTTATTTATTTGAAATCAAATACAGCACAAAAGTTATAGTGAAGTGAAATAATTAGAAATGTGTTTGGGATTTTAATTTTTCTTTTTGTTATTTTCAGTAAGCAGACATTCCACTTTATTTAAAACCTTATAGTGATCAGTTGTAATATCATTCTTTTGCAAACATAAATTCAGAATTTTGAATGAGTCTCCTACTTCATGCTTGGAAGGCCGATAAACCATTATATCTACCGAGTCCTCATCATCACTTTCCATTGCGCTTAGAATTGGATACAATAATTTACAGCTCTATAGTGCTCAATAATATCGTCATCTGTAGGAAAGTTTGATGTACAAATTTCATTGTCAAGCAAAATATAATGTAATGGTTAAGAGTATCCTTGGAAATTATTTTATTTACTTTAAACCACGTTGCAAACGACTGGTTTTTGTACAAAGCAACATAAGAAAAAAAATTAAACTTTTGGTTTGGAAAAAGGGACTTCCCCTAACAGCTAAATGCATTTATACTTAAAACAAAAATTCGACTTATTCGAATTCGAATGCACTTTCCCATATTCCTGTCGGCACGGAACAAAATTTTTGTTCGAGTTATAGAGAAATTCGAGTTATAGAAGTTCCAGTCATGGAAGCAGAATTGTATGTAATTTGCTCTCTAAAACCTTGGTGCACTGTTTTTGTTTCGAGTTTTAGAAAATTCGAGTTATGGAAGTTTGACTGTAGTTATAAAAACATTAATTAAAACATTTTATCTTTGAGTAGTTTTTTTTAGAACTTTCGTTTTTATTACGTCAAGTATAAAAATCGTGAATAATCATAGGTACAAATAATAAACTAAAATTAATTAAAAGTTAATTAGAAAAGCAAAAAACTAGTGTAGCATATTAAGTAATCGAGTGTCCGATATGGAACAATGTACGACATGTTTAATATATTGTTTATATATTATCTGGAATAGTTTTTTATATAGTTAATCATATATTCAAATAATAAGCATTAAAGATATATAATAAAAAATTTGTTTGCAACTTATGATATATGTTTAAGCTGAAACATTTATTGTTTTGTGTTACATTTCTTTTTAGTAATTGATTATGGACTAATTACTTTGGATTAATAAATTGAATTGAATCTATACTGGACTGTTAACAGCAGCTTATAGTGCGATATATAATTCTGATGGAATATATCTTGTGATTGAGATATTATTAAACATTTGATTCAGTTAAATTTAAAGTGTTTATTATATATACATTCTATAGTCTTTCTAAAGCGGGGGTGTCTTAGTTTGTATAATACATATTATTATGTTAGGGAATTGGGCACACTATTCTGACGATTCGATTTGACGATGAGTTCCACTACCTAACCACAAAATAAATATATATATAGTCTACTGTAGATGGTGTAGGAGGGTAAAATCACTATTATGGTGTCGATAATCTCAACTTTTCTCTACTGCATATTTAAGGTACAACCAATAGCTTTGGTGGATTAGACTACTAGAAAACTTATTAAAAAAGTATCTTTAAAAATAATAAGAAGTAAAATATTTTTAATAAAAGTTTTATATTCAATCATTTATTTGCAATTTAAAATATTAATTTTAATCATAAACTTAATATTTTGTTCACATTCTTTAATTATATATTTATATTAAATTTGATTTGATATTTTAAAATTATTTTAGTAAATATTTTAAAAGATTTTATGCACTACATTAGCAAATACATTAACACAAACAGTGGATATTTGTGGTAATTAAAATATATTTTATGCCAATTGCTTACATAAACATATTTAATAAATAATTTGAGATTTTTTAAAAATGTATACTAAAAAAAAAGAAAGAAAATTAAAATAATAAATTAAACTTTAATTAAAACTGAGCTTAATACATGTAAAAAAAAATTTATTTTCCCATACGTTGTATGGACCATTCTTGTTGGCAAAGAGGACAACGATTGTTTTGCTTCACCCATAGAGACATGCAACAATGATGAAAGGAGTGATTGCATTCACCCCAAACTACCACGCAATCCTGTTTTCCCAAAACTTCACGTTTATTTTCAGCTTGGCAACGGAGACAGGCATCTAGAAACCAAAAAAAAAAGTATTAATTAATTAATTAGTACAATACACTTTCAACATGGAAAATTATTATATAAATGGTTTCTACTGAAATTTTTTTTAAAGTAATTCTCCATCTATCGTAGCGTTGTTAGATGGTGCTTATCGCCTTTTCTCTGGGTTTTCTATTTTTAGTGCTATTAGCTACCATTTAAGGCTACACCAACTTTTTAGATGTGCTCTTTCTTTTTTTTTGTGCCGTTAACTAGCACTTTATCCGTTTTTTTTCTCGTGAAATTAATTTTCCGGTATTTCACGCTTTTGGTGTTAGTTATACTTTTTTGTTTATTTGATGCTATTATTAAAATAAATAATTATAAACTAAAGTTTAAACTATACTCATGTAGTTTTATTGTAGCTCAATTTATAATTTGTTTTATTTAAACAAAATTTTCAAATTAATCTTTAAAAGAGAGCACAATGTACATATATTTTTATTTTATAAATATAAGTTGATTATTTTGTATCGATCCGATATGGTTGCATAGTTAACCAACATCATTCATTGGGCACCAAGAGACCAAAATGGTGCTAACAGATGCCGCTAATCAGGCTAATAAAAAAAAATCTAATATACAGGCAATATGGCATCCAATATCTTGATCACTACACTATTTGTATTTAGAATATAATAATTATAATTAATTGATTCGTAATGTATGTACATTGTCTTTATTTTAAAACTTTGGAAAAGTCAATAATTAGCATTGCCTTTTACTTATCATTTTTCTTTATTTTCTTTTATTGAATAAAAAAAAATATTGTTATTGTTATAGTTTTACAAGTTATTAATAAGTTTCACAGATTGTTTGAAATGTGACAAGAGTGACATATGTGACATTGAACTTATATTAGTTCCAATTTACATATAACCTATATTTCTGTTGCCTCACTTGTGTCAATTGACGAGAAGTTTTATCCGCCAATGGAATATTACCAATAATAAATGAAGGAGGCAAGGCAAGGCAAGGCAAGTCGCACAAGTAAAAAGTTAATATACTTTGAGGAACTTAAAGGTAACGAGTACACACCCCTACGCTCTGTGTGCTGTTGACGTGACAAGTGGGACGCTCTTTTTGGCATTGAATCTCAATTGAAAATATTATATATAAACAAAAACAAATTCATTCAGCGTAGATCTTTGAACAGTTGCCAATTAAAAGAAAAAATATAAAAATTAAGAGAAATATACCAATGACGAGATATGACGCAAAACAATTTTTTATATAAAAATAAAATTTGACATCTTCACAAATTAGCATCACATGATAAAAATAAAACGGACGAAATTCTGGAGAACTATACGCTACTTCCAGAACATTCAGAATAAAAAGTTATTTTTTTAAAATTGTATTATATCTATTTGAAGCTTTTTAATACTATACTTAAAAGAGTTGGGAATTAGTTGTTTCTATATTTTTTTTTTGAAAATTATTCAGATCATATCATATATCCTACGGATGAATGTGTCATATACGACTACTTTAACAACAGGAAATGTTTATGGATCATATAACCATTGATTCGCATTGTTTACAAGAAGCTCACAACATATGTACATACATAGCTCAATATTCTTTTTTGAGGTCTTTTTTCTACGGTCACTGACATAATTTTATCAAAACTATAGGTGCGAGCATCGTATTTCATGCTGATTTTTATTTGTAAAATTTCGTTTTCCGAGAATTTAACTTTATATTCAGTGAATTATACAAAATAATGATTTAACTACGCATTAAAGCATTATGATTAACCGATATGCAGCCTAAAGCTGAGCTGTCCAACTGGCAGCGGCCTTAAAAATTCTAAGAGAAAGGTAATAATTGAGTCTAAACGAATTAGATATGAAATAGATGACTTCAGTAATTGAATATATATGTTATTTTATAAACTTTGTAAAAACTAATGATTTATTCGTTGTAAAATTTAAAATTATTTTATAAAATTAACTTTTTGAGTTTAAAAATTAACTAATGTATGTTTTGTAGGTAACCATGCTAAGAGACTGAATCTACCTTTCAACCAAACTTACCGCAAGGATGAAGAGGACAATAAAAGCGCTTCCCATCAACTCTGTTTCTGTCCAGCACATGCGTAGCGCCGTATTATCACTTTAGGGGCTTTCTTTTTTGAGGATCTTGGCGAACTGCAAAACCTTCCTCTTAATAGCACTATAAGCTTTGCCAAATGTTTTGAGTGGTTCTAACCATTGAGTTTTTAGTTATACGGTAACACAATGACCCCATATGTCTAAGTGGATTCCTTGGGATCGGATGTATGAATATAATAGATGTGATCCAATTATAAAGAAATACGTTTAAGTACAATCTAATGCATATCAAATACAGAGTACGACCAAAAATACGTCTTATAGATTGTATCGCTAAGGTCACGAAAATTTAAATAAAGAAACGGCGAGAGACAGCCCTAACCAAAAGTAAAGACAAATGTAGTAACATTGTATTCGAAACCAGGAATTGATGTCAAACGCCAAATTTGACTAAATTCAAAAGATTTTATATGCAGACATATGAAGTTGTCAACAGTTTCGATGTTTATTTTCGATTGATTTTTAAAACGGGTATTAATTTTGTGACGAATATTCGTTTTTAAGTTTTAGGATATTAATTTAAACCAAGCGAAACCAAGACCACCAATATGGATTTCTAATTCTGCCGATATTTAATTCTTTTGTTTGCTTGGTTAAAGTTATATTGCAATCCCAAATGCCTTTAATTAATTTCTCAAATCTACTTTAGAAGTATTTTAAACTGAAGAATAATTTATCAATTCAATTCAAATACACAGATCTATAAGATATAATTAGAATGAAGGATTAGTAATCGCACACTATATGTTTTACAATTTTGATTTAGATTAGCGTGTACTATATAAACTATCGATTAAGTTGAGTAATCGTTAAATCAAATATAAATGAAAACAAAATAACACTTCATTGTTTTGCAAGTCATTCATTTATAGATTCAATGAAAAAACGAAACATACTTATTTAGGCAGTATATGATTTATTAATGCGTAATCATGATATCCGTTTTAACTTTTCATTAACTGTAGTTTCGGAAACTCCTCGTTAGCACTTTAGATAAAATTAATAATTTGTTATCTTGAAATATAATAAATTTGGGTAGTAAATTATGAAATTAATCTATTTAATTTTTTCTACAATTTTAAGTGATTTTCTCTGAAAAAGGTTTCCTTTATACATTTTCAAACTTAATAAAATTTTTATTCCCCCATTATTTTTCTGTTACTATAATTGTCGTTACTGCAGTTTTTGATTATATTATTTTTTTATGTGTACATATGTACATATGAGTTAAGTTGAGAAGTTAAAGCCAATTGTTGCTTCACTCTGTAGGTGGTTGGTGCACTCTGTAGGTGCTGCCATGTTAAAGAGGCAGTCGAATTTATTAATCACTTACTATGTCTTTGTCTGGCACTATAGACTATTTGGCTTCAATGTTTTAGAGATGGTTTCTTTATTTGCTTAGTAGAGTTAACAAGTTTCCATGCTTTCATCTGGAGAATCAAGTGGTTTAATTAGACACATGGAGCCTTTTTGAAAATAATGGTGATTATAGTTCACGTCTACCTGGGAACTTTAAACGCATTGCAATGGATAATAGTTATGTTTGAGTGTAATTATTGATATTCGTATCAACACGCAACTTACAAACTCTACTGAATCATATTTGGTGTACACGAATAGAAGAAGTAACCAGATCTGAAAGTTGCAAGAAGTTTTTAGGGCTCCTCGAATTAGTAAGTAAAAAGAGTATAATATATTCTCCCAGAATAACTATATAGAAAAATAGATTAAATTATATTTATAGACGACTGAAGAGAAATGCATATTACATATATTACTATTATTATCTACACATTTATTGCATTTATTACCACTGATGCTGCTTTGATATACATTGTGACCGAAAAGTTTTCGGAAATTCTCATTTAAAATTCGCGCGCTGTATATTTTTCGATATTTTA